TGCTTTGGACAGACTTTACCTTTATTTACTTTCTTATACATCCCTGCCTCTTTCTGACTGACTTGTGGCTTTGTGGTGAAAGTGCAGTATGTTTCAAGAAAGTCTAAGATTCCAAAACATGCGTATGACATGAAGAACAATTCAAGTGAAAAAGTGAGAGAGTATAGTTTTCCCACGGACTAATCTATTCAAAGACTTAGCTTTTATACAATGGAAGGAATAATTACCCAGGAAATAAACAAAAGTGTTCTCAAGGAAACCCAATCTTTACTAATTGTTTACGCTAATGAATAGTTCACACACTGAGTGAGCTATACTGGGAAAGTTACCCGTGTCTTTTATTTAGAAAAAAGCGCCTATTTAGCTAAAGGCACAATGTTGAGCTATGTAATTTACGGAACATTTTCCTTTCAAATTATTTTGAACCACTGACTTTAAGTTTCATTTGCTTTTTTTTTCCCTATTTTTTAAGATGAATCGAATCAGCACAAAATAGGTGCCTTGACAGTTGCTATTTATCTATCTATATATCTGTTATTAACTTGAAAATGAAGTGTAGTTTATCTTCATCACTTGAAAAGCAATAAATAGTGAAGACATTAATTCACCTTTGGTCCACATATAAAGAGCATAAAGTGATATTCAGGTTTTCTTACTCAGAATTTTTTTTAAGGTTTATAAACATTATATTTATTCACAAGGCTAAAATCCTGCCAATATAATTTGGGTATTTCTGCTTTAGGGTCTCCAGTTTATCAAGTCTGTCCATAGGAAACAACAACAACAAAAAAAAAAAAAAAAAAGGAAAAAACAAACTGGAATTCTAGTCAGTCTTGCTACTTGTTAACACTCAGAAATTATTTTAAAATATAATAAAATAAAATTCTCATTTTCTCTAAAACTCAAAATACTATAAACTGGGAGGGGATATATTTATCACCCATTTCAATTTAACACTAGGACAAATTCACACCTTGTTTTGGCTGAGTTTTAAAAAAAATCACCTTAGTTATGACATTAAGCAGAATTTCTAAGGAAACCAATGAGAATCTTACTCTCTTTACAAATGTTTCTAATAAGCACAGTAATTTGGTACTCCTGCTAATAGGGCAAGAGGAAGGAGGGAATATGGAGGATGGAGACTGTGAAGAAATATTTTGTTCTTTCTCCTTTTTTTCCACATATTCCAAGTTGCATGAGAAGTTTCTCCATAAGATTTATGACACCTTGTTCTCTTCCTCCCTGACTTGAAGAGAACAGGATGGAGTACAGTCAGTCCCCATCTCATGAATAAGGTACATTACAAAAACTCTCTTATTAGTCATTTCTTAGGACTCTGCATTTTACAAGAGACATTTATTTCTAATTTATAAGTTTTTACATCAACATTTGAAACTCAAATTAACTTAGATAAGTTAGAATTGTTCTATTGCTATTGTTATTTGAAACTATAAACATACACCAACTATGATGTATTTTAGAGAGAAAAAAACTTTCACAAATTTAATATTCACGGGTTCTCAGACAGTATCTCTTCAACAGTAGGGCCCTAAGAACAAAAGAAACTTATGGATATTTACCTAATTATTCTAATGACAATATTTTGAGAAGTCATCTAAATCTAATGGAATTTACTTATATGTAATTGTGCCTAGTATCATCAATGGTTAAGAAATAAACTTTTTCTTGAAATAAGATAAACAAAGCAGAAGAAAAATTGCATTTACCTAACTATTTTGCAAATCCTCAACAATCAGTTCTTGACTATCATAGGGTCAAGGAAATTTGCAGTTAAGGCCTTTAAAAACTTTTTTTTTTTTAATAGAGGTTTTTGCTATAAGGCATGTGAGCTTTCCTGAGACAGTGAGAGACAGAAAATGAGAAATCACTTCCCAGGGGGGATGGCCACACCACAATCACTTCTCCATTCTCCTCTTGGGATTTTGGGCATGCTTGCATATGTGCCTAGTGTGAGTTTTAAGCTGCCAGATCAAGGACTAGAAACACAGTTGACTATGGGGGAGCCAAACAATGTAACCATACAACATTTGTTGGCCCTGATCTTAAGAACTTTTAAAAAATTATTTTCTATGTTTTCGCTGGGATTGTCTGAAAAATAAAAAGGCATGATGTTTCCGAGTCACACTGTTATGCAACTGTGTATGCAAATATACATCCCAAATGCAATGCTTAACAATACAGACCTTCCTACATTGTTAAATTTTCCCTGAGAAATGGCTGAATAGTTCACAGATATGAAAAATTGAATGTGATAAAAAAAAAAAAATCTGTACATTTTGAAGCCAGTTAACAGTGTGGAGCTTGGTGCTTCAAGCCCATTTAGATAATACAGTTTCAAGACTTTAGCAATGGGACCAGCAGTTAGAGTAATGGCTATGTTGCTGGACTCCCACGTAGTCAACCGCAGTTCAAGTCCTGGACCCGGTGGCTTAAACTCACACCAGGCACATGTGTGTGTGTGTGTGTGCCCAAGATCCCAAGAGGAGAATGGAGGGAAGGGATTGCGGGATGGCCATCCCCCCCCTGGGGGGTGATTTCTATCTCTCTGTCTCTCTCTCTCTTTCTGGAGAGCGCACGTTCCCCATAGCAAAAAAAACTCTCCAAAAAAAAAAAAAAAGATTTTAGCAATAATTTCTTTCATGGCAGCTAATATTAAATGAGTACATTGAGGAAGACTAGACACTGTTGTAATGTTTTTAAGTTTTATTTCATTTCATCCTTGCAAGAACTGCCTATTGTCCACACTTTATAAATAAGAAATTGATGCAAAAATAATTCAACTACTTGCTCAATGTCCCATGTTTAGGAAGGGGCAGATACCACATTCTAAATAGGTCTATTACTTCAAAGTCTGTGCTCTTATCCTCTGTTGCTTATTAACTTGCGTTTCAATATTGCCTCCTCCGACCTCCACCCTCGATTCATTTAACTTTCCATGCACAAAAACCAGTATGTGGAGTTATTAACTAGTGATGCAGAAGCTGTGAGAAAAATCTGGGGGGAGGGTAAGGTTTGCGTGTGTGTGTGTATGGTGTTTCCAGGCAGGATCTCACCATTTCTCTTTTTTCTTTTCCCTATTATCTGGGATCTCTTTGCAGAATAATTACTTGCCTGCATTTCTTTAATATAAAATATTTTGAAGTGATCGTTCTATCTTCTTTTTTGTGCATGAAAATGATTATAAAATGTGGAAGAGAGTTTTATGCCAATTAATGGTAAAATGGGGCACAGTATTTCAACCTCATAAAAAACTCAAAAGATGTAATTTTATGAGATGGAATACAGGATCAATAGGAAAAGGGATGAAATGTGGATAGGGACAGGTTAGCAACAGAACACACTGGAACTGGGTAGGGTGAAGTGAGAGGGAATAGATGGCACTTCCCTTTGAGAGTCTGAATCTATGCCATGATAAACAGATTTTTCATGTCATGCTTTCATTTCTTGACACAGCCCTGGAATTAATTAGAGACTTGTTATGAGTGACAGAATAATCCCATCGTTGCCAGATATCTGCTATCAGTGTCCTTATATCATGGTGCTTTGGTTAAAGAAAAACTTCGAATGAGATGATTGTGATTTTTAAAAAAATTATGTTGATGATTGCTGACTAGAGAAATAATGATAAAAGCACTGTTTTAGAAAAATGTAACTTGGTGACAGTTTTCTGAATGGTTTTACAGGCTATCAGAGGTCAGAGAGTTGCACAATAGTAGAACTCTATGATCTGAAAAGCAGATCTACACAGGAAGGTTACCAGTTCATGTGTGGAGACTGAGTACTCTTGAGTACTCTGGGCATTTGTTTGCCCATGATCTGGGATGGCTGAAACTGACGTTTATTTGCAGTGTAAAAACTCTGTCAGGGGTGCTGTATCACTCTCTTTGTTTCTGTCTCTCTTCTTCATGGAATAAATAAAATAAACATTTTTAGAAAAGAATAGAAAGCACTTTTGAAGCTGAATTTGTGTAGGAATGTATCTGTTAGGTGTTAAGTATGAGTGGATCAGGGTGGTGGTATGTGAATAACGGAATTAAAAATAGATAAATAACAACAACCTATAGAATAGGAAAAAACCCCTAAATTAGATTTTTCTCCACTCTACACTCAGTGCATAGAAAAATAATGTGGCATAGTTAAAGCTTACTACTTTGGGTTGAATAAAGTTCAATTACAAAGACTTATTTCTACAGGAGAAAATAAAGAAAGATTGAAATTATTTTATTGTGAAGATAGTTAATGCAGATAATTTATTACACAGATTACAGCTAGTTCAGAGGTATTTTTTCCCCAGTAATCTACCATAGTATTGTAGTTCATATTTATGCAGGTCACATAAACTTATAATTAATAAATAAATAAAGCAAATAGAGACATGATCATCTTTGTTTACTTTCTTGTTGACAGAAGTATTCTAGAAAGCTGGAACTTTTTCACAATGTCCCTAGGTATAGTCAAGATTAAGTCTTACAAAATATGTTTCTAAGGAACTTAAACACAAATTTCACACTCTGAAATAATTTGCAACATATTTAAAAAATAAATCTACAGGCACAATTATCTCCAGAATCATAACTCTATCATTTCTATGGGATTTACAGTGACATGAGATCAATCCTCTGCTGGAGTTGGAAGGGAGAGAAGTTACAAGCCTAAGAAACTACTGTTGCTACTCCAGGCTGATAGTAGAAGTTCACCTGTCTTAAAGAAAAAGTATTATAATCCACACGTATCTTGGTTATGGTTTGAAGGGTGTACAATATATCAGAATGGTGCCCCTGCTCCCATCAGAACAACTACAGGTTCAGGACACTCTGAACAAGCTTGAGTTTGGAAGCTCTGGTTTGGCGTGCAATTCAGCAGATGTGGCTGTGGACTGGAGGCCAAGGATTTGGTGTACATGGAGATACAAATAACTACATTTAAGACAAAGCTGGACTGAGAAACAGATATTCCAGGGACATCTCTATCAAAGAGTCCAAGCAGATAGGCCTAAGTGTGAAGAGACATTGAGTCAGGAGGACAGAGTGGAAATTCAGCCAGAGAATGTCTCTCAGGAACCAGATTGGGTTATTTTCAGTAGCAGGCACAATCTTATCTGCGGTATGGAGGTGCTATTAAGGGATCAAAATCTGTTTAGACACTGGGCAAAGTAGCTGAAGTTCCCAAAGGGTGGCCAGAGCATGACAATAAGTGAATCTCAGAAGTTCAGAAAGGGCTGTTGGGACTTACTTCCTCCCCATAGGAAGTAGATCCCAGTCCTCAGATGAGGTTCTCAAAGCAAAGCTCCAGTTCCCAGGGAAGAATCCTGAAGAGACTAATTGAGGTCTTTGCCCCTTAGAAACTTGGAAATTCAGTATGTATAGAAACATTTCCAAAATCTGAGTCACTACATGATCTGGGACATGAACTCTGTTATCCCAATAGAGGCCCTACAGAACAATGAGCTATGACTCAGGGAACAGCTTGAAACCCAGTGGAGATTTTGGAGCACAGCGTCCTGGGTCAAATCATCAGCAAAGGGAAATAGGGACAGGGCTAGGAACTAAGTGTCAGTGTATGAACAGCATGTTTTCGGTCCACATTAATAATAAGAAGAATTTTATTCTAAGTTATAGGATATGACAGATTAAATAGGCTAAGTGTTTTCTCTCTTGTCAGTTCTAGTCCAGGAAAAGGCAAGAATAGCCCATGAAAAGGTTACCATGAATTTTAGATTCAGGAAATTTGGAAATTCAAAAGTCAGAGGAACAAACACTGAGACCTAATGAATGGTACTGAAAAATCAAAGTTATAAAAATACATTTTCCTCCTTTATAAATAATTTGATTACCTAAATTAAGCCATGACGCCCCTTATTTGAACCAACTACAAGTCATCTCTTTTTTCCTCCAGATAGGCTTTTTAAGTCTATGTGCGAAATTGAAGTGCAGTTCCAGACATTTCCTTCTTATAGATGACATCAAATTTCTCGTTTTGGGCCACTGTGAAGTGATTCTTCCAATCACCAACAATTCCTAAAAATAAAAAAATAAGAAAACTTATGGAAGGATAAGTATTTCTATTACAAAGGAAAAGTTTTTGCTATACATATAATACTATATATATCAAAGAACATGTTTAAACAATTTGAATAGTTAAAATGTCATTTAAAAAAAAGAGTAATTTCTTCCCTCTGGAAAGGTGGCTTATAAACAAACATAGAGTCTGGGTTTTAAAGAGGCATTATGTGAAGGGCTCATTTTTCTTTTCTAAACTTATGAGTTGTACAATAGTTTTGAAGAGCGATTCTTTTATTGTTTCTAACTGTCCTGGGTCAGAAGACTATTATTGGACACTCTGTGATCAATAGAGCATATTTTATTTCATGAGTTACTTTTGGAAATTTTACAAAGAATTTAGCATCAACAACCACACTATGAAATGGAAAGCTGACGTTTCCCAGAATTTAAAAACAAGGACACAATGGTCCTCAGTGGGTAATTGTTTTGCCTGAATTCACTAGGCTTGTACTTTATTTCCAATTTAGGTAGGAAGAGTAACATTAAAATGAAAGATATCATACTCCTGACCTATGTTCGCATTTTTTAATTATTATTTTATCTTATACATTCAATCACTGGATATCATTGCAGCTTATAAACTGAATTTTCCCAACATGAATACACTGCATATTAAGCCACTTAAAGATATTATCACACATGTTATCATCAACAGATAATTTTCCGTTTTTGTGTCCCTTAAATGTTTTGTTTCTTTCTTTTTCCCCCATTAATTCTCTTCTCACCCTTTGCCACTTCTACATTTTTAAAAGCAAAACTTTTAGAATATATGTTGACATCTAACCTCTCATACTTGGATAATTTTAAATGTTTATTTGAAAAATAAGTAAATTTTAATGTATTGCCAATATTTTTGGAAGAAAATATTTACTGGTATTACTTTTGAAATAGTAATAGAAAGTATATCCTATTGAAATATAAGCTATATTTATCCATGATGGTTTAATAAAACCTCTGAAACTTTTAAATGAAAAACATTTCCATAGACAAGGTTGTTTTCCTGACTATTATGCTTTGTTCTGTGTTTACCAGATGAAAATAGGTCTTTGTAATATATGTGAGTGATCAATCCAAATATATGTGGGCTAGTGTATTAAAATATATCCTTAAAAATTAGAGAAAACAACAGATTTAAGAAAGAGAGAGTTATATAAAAATCAGATATTCTGATCTGAGCATGAATTATATAATGTACACAAACGCATTTGTGTACTTTTGTGTCATAAAACTTTTTTGGATAAAAATAAATGCTGGCCAATGCCCATGTTTTTCTGTTTTGTTGCATTTGGGACACAGATGGGCATCATAAAAGAACATTTTGATCAACTATGGCAGTGGTCCCTAAGATTATACTAGGCTATACATTATAGCCAAGGTGTGGTGCACAGTATTTATGTAAGTATAGGTTATGATGTTCACCCAGTGATTTAACCACCCAATGACACACTTCTCAGAATGCATCTCCACTGTTGAAGCAATGTATGCCTATATAGTCAGTCTTCTCTGCTCAGCTTTACAATGCAGCGTTAACAATGAGAAATGTTGCGCTTCCCTCTTTCATAAGAGGCCATTTTTGAAAAGTAAGATGTAATGTTTTAGGGAAAAAAAGCATAGTTGAAATCACTAAGATTATCCTTTGCCATTTTAATAAAATAATAAACATCTTTAGAAAAAGTTTTAATTATGTAACTCTATGCAAAGTTGATAGTTTTGAATCACATGTACAGATGCACAACACATTTCTGAGGCTGTGCTAATTTCTCAGCACATTGACTAAAATTCTATCCCTCTCTCTGTAACTCAGTAAAGAACATTTAAAACAGAAAGCAGGGGGTGGCACTATTAAGTTCAAAAAATTAATGGAAAATGTGTATTATGGGAAAATCTAGTATAGACTTTGTTCTAAAATAAACTTGTACTTTAACTCCCTGTTTCCACAACTTTTTAAAGTGTTTTTGCATACTATTCCATAATTTCCACATTTATGTTAGTGGAAATAAAGCTACATTTCAACAGGAAATACTTTATTATTCTAATGTAAATTTTATCTTTATGTTTCCTATTCAGATAGTATCTTTAGGGACTAAAAAATTCCTACAATGTGGTGGGAAAAACAAAACAAAAAGAAAGACTTCTTCCTTTGGGTGAATTCTTCTTTTTTTTTTGGAGGGGGGTGAATTCTTCTTAATAAAATGACTACTATTTTCTTAACAATACGGAGGCTTTTACATAAAGTGATAACCCAGTGAGTGGAATTAGTGTTTCATGGACAAGGGGAAGAGTCTCATGTTAGTTTAGACAAAGCTATGAGGAAATAAGAATGATGAATTTGAAATGACTCTTATCAGAATTATCAGAATCATTCTTATGTAGCCGAATAAGAAATAAAAGAAGTATTTATCAAATATTTAAGGTATTCTAATAGCAGCCTTCCATGCATTATTTCATTTAATAATTTCTTGTTTAAATAATTATTTATTTAGTTTTATTTATTCATTCATTTATTTTAATTTGAACAGAGAAAGACGTACAGAGAGAAGGAAAGTGAGAAAGCAAGCCACCAAGTCTGGGACTCGAACCATGGTCAGCCATGTGAGAGTGTCCAGCGCGTTAACCACCACACTACCTGCTGGTCCTGATTTAATCATTGCTAACCTAATTTAGTGACTTTTGATGGTTGGTATATTTAGTGTCCTCATTTTACAATGAAGAAATGGAAACTTAAACAGACTAAGAATCTTGGCAGAGATCATAGAGTTAATCGTTAGCTCATGGTAATCCATAAGTAATGTCAGCAAAGTATTTACCTTTGCGCATAAAAGGCGATTTGCTGTGATCCATGACTTCAGTTGGCAGATGTGTGTAGTTCACCAGAGGATTGTCCTTCATCATTTCAAATGAGGTGTGATGGATGATCTTATGCAAAATGTCCTCATTCAGATTCTTCTCTAGAAATTTCATAATCTTCTTGATTTCCTCCTTTGGATTCTATCAGTGGGTAAAAAGGCATATCCAAGAAGCAGGTGAACAAGTAAATCATTCACATAATACAAAAATTATAAAACATTTATAACAGGTTTTCCAAAATGTTGAGTGAATATTGACAGAAATCCATTTTCGGTTACATCTATTTTTCATAACTTAAGAAATTAATCGTAAAAGTTATAAGACTCAATAATATGGGCTTAGCAAAAATAAAATAAAATATCAAGACATTTATGGGACACAGAAACAAATGATTATCTGTTGATGATAACATGTATAGTATCCTTTATTTTTTGAGAGGTTTTGCTATAGGGCACGTGCGCTTGCCAGAAAGACAGAGAGAGACAGAGAGACAGAAAGTGAGAAATCACCCCCCCAGGGGGGATGGCCACGCCTCAATCCCTTCTCCTCCATTCTCCTCTTGGAATCTTGAGCATGGACGCACATGCGCCTGGCGTGAGTTTAAGCCATCGGGTCCAGGACTCGAACCTCCGTCTTCTACATGGGAGTCCAGCGACATAGCCATTACGCTAACTGATGGTCCCAACATGTATAGAATCTTCAACTGGACTGGAGTGAAATGTATTCATGTTGGGTATATTCACTTTACAAGCTAAGTGATTGAATGCATAAAATAAATTAAAATCTTTTTAAAATGTTTTTTATTCTTTTATATTTTTAGTTAACATTCAACATGAAAAAAGAACAGCCTCTGAAGAAAATATTAAAAATATTTGGAGACACAAAATTATCACAACCTTTTTAAGCTCAATTTAAAATCAGATTTGAATTGTGAATGTTTTAGGGACTCCCACCATTACTATTCTTTTCTTAATCAAAATTTCTTTCTGTTTTTTTTTTTTATAAAAATATGGTTTTTGAGGGACCAGCAGTTGGTATAATGGCCATGTTGCTGAACTCCCATGTAGCTGGCCGCAGTTCGAGTCCTGGACCTGGTGGCTTAAACTCAGGGCAGTCACGTGTGCATGCGTGCCCAGGATCCTGAGAGGAGAACGGAGAAGGGATTGCGGTGTGGCCATCCCCCCTGGGGGGTGATTTCTCACTTTCTATCTCTCTGTTTCTCTCTCTTTCTGGTGAGCGCCCTATAGCAAAAGCCTCTCCTAATATATATATATATATATATATATATGTTTTTTTAAAAAAGAATTCATGGACAACTTAAAATATGTTTGCTTTAAAACTGACTAGATTTTGCTTGAATATAAACTGTTAAAAATAGACTCCAGAGAATCAAAGCCTAATTTATTCATTAGTCACTGAGTGTTTAAAGTAAACTATCCTATAAATGAACCATTTCTTCAGTTTCTTTTTTTAATAGAATAATTTTACTTGGCTATATATATATATTTTTTTTTTTTTTAAATTTGACCAGAGAGGGATAGAGTGAGAGAGAGAAAGAGAGAGAGAAATTGAGAATGCAGGCCTCCAGACCCAGGACTCTAATCACAGTTAACCATATGGGAGTCCAACGCCCTTAACCACCACGCTATCTGCTGGCCCCAACCATTTTCTTAGTTTCTGATGATACAAAAATATTTGAATCTTTTAAGGTAGCAATTAAATCAGCATGCTTATGTCTAGAGTGATTTGGAGAAAGTGGTATCAAAACTGAAGTACTGAAGTTGAGAAGAATTATAATGGAAAACCTTTTTTTTTTTTTTTTTTTTTCCCTTTGGTTTGCTTTGCTTTACTTTATTTCTCTTATACTTTGAAGGTTAGCTGGCAATTGTATCCTCTGTAATTAGTGTGATCTGTAACTACTGTACTAAATAAGGTTGTAAATAATCCTGCTAGCTTGCTGAGAAGAGGAGACTTAAACCCCTTGCTTTGGACAATGGTCACAAGAATGAGGGGGTCTCAGGTAAGAAATCTTCAGAAATGGAAATGTTTAAATTCTGAAAGATAACATTCAACTCCAGACTTGTCCCTACCATTAACTTGGACATTTTCTTAGTTGTTTTTGAACTCTTATTTCTGTGTGTCTGTATTTAGGTTTCCTGACAGACCACTCCCTTCAGAACTTCTTGGAGAGTTGGTCTGGTGTTGGTAAATTCTTTCAGGTTTTGTTTATCTGAGAATATTCTTGTCTTTTCTTCCCATATGAAGGATAATCTTGCCAGGTATAGTTTTCTTGGTTGAAAATGTTTTTCACTTTGCTCAAGGGACACAATGTAACAGGTTAAATTGGGAAAATTGTAATAATGTTATTGTTAACATAATAGTTACTCATAGATGTTTGGACTGTTTTGTTAAACAGTATAGTTTAGAGACCAGCAGATGGCACAAGTAGCTGACCTTGGCTGAGTCTCCCAGTGGCTTAAAACTCACACTGAGTATGTATTCATGCATGACCAAGATCCCAGAGAGGAGAATGGAAGAGAAGGGATTGCAGCATGGCTATCTCCCCTGGGGAGGGTGATTTCTTGCTTTCTGTCTCTGGCAAGCACACATGCCCTATAGCAAAAATCTCTCTCTTGAAAAAAAAGTACAGCGTAAAGAAAATATGTTGTTTCTTTCCCTGCCTCTGCAGAGTCGCGTGGAGGAGGAGGCTCAGGCTCCGTGTGTTGATAATTTGGCTCCACCAGTAATCTGCGATTGCCAAGGAAGGCACTGCTGCTGGAGTTGTAATGGATGTTAATGCTGCTTTACAAGAGGTGCTGCAGACCATGCTCTTCCAGGATGGCCTAGCATGTGGAATTTGCCAAGCCTCCGAAGCCGCCAAAGCCGACAAGCGCCAAGCCCATCTGTGTGTGCTTGCATACAACGGTGATGGACCTATGTATGTCAAGTCGGTGGAGTCCCTTTGTGCCCAACACCAAATCAGCCTGATTAAGGATGACAACAAGAAACTAGGAGAATGGGTAGGCCTCTGTAAAACTGACAGAGAGGGTAAACCCCGTAAAGTGGTTGGTTGCAATTAAGGACTATGGCAAGGAATCTCAGGCCAAGGATGTCATTGAAGAGTACTTTAAATGCAAGAAATGAAGAGATAATAAAAATCAGCTTGTGATTCTCAAGAAAAGAAAAAAGAAAATATGTTGTAACTTCCTTTAATGTCCCTTATCAATGTATGTCACATGTCTGAGTTAACAAGAACAAAAACAGAGTTATAAATGTCATGTGAAAGGAAAAGGTGCACAGAACAATTTGGGGAAAGTCATGCGAGTAGAACTGCTACTGAACTAGCTAAACTTACGTTGTAGGGAATAATGGATAAATGAGAAGTGTAACAGTGCATAATGTGCAGGAAATGTCTGTTCTGGGAGCTGCTTGTAAGCTTGGTAGCTCTTGGTCACTCTGTGCTCTAACACAGCTAAATAAACTCTGCTTCTCCATCTTCGCTTTGCCTCTCAGTTATTCACACAAATGGCCGCTGGGTGTTAGCCAGCAACAGAATAAGTCAGATTTTAACCCAGTGTGATCCACTAGGGTGTTAGAGAGTAAATTTCCAGTAAAAAAAAAAACTTAAATCCTTGGAGTTATAGCATCCTTGCAGTATGTTTAAGGGGAAAAAAAATGCAAACTGGTTCAAGTTAGGCTTGAATGATTTAGGAGCTAAAGAGGCTATAAAATTGAAAAGATGAGTTGGAGACAAATGAGCACATTCCCAGATACCTTGTTAAAGCATTTTGGACTGTATATTTTTATGCAATAGAAAAGCAACATAATTTAAAAATGTGTATTAGCTATGTATAAATGTGTGTGTGTGTGTATATATATATATATATGTATATGTATACATATATATATATATATACACACACAAGTATGCATGTATGCAGGGAATGCCTTTGAAGAAAAGTTCTGGCAGTAGTTTATGTAACAGACTTCAGTAAGAAAAGAATGTGATAGTTACTTAAAATGTACTAGAGATTAAAATGAGTAAAGGGGAAAGAATGATGGTAAAGAAAAGTAAAAAAATAAAAATCATAGTAAAGGAAAACACATAGATGAACAGGCAAATAAAGAACATTTTCTGTTAGGGATCCAAAGAATTTGGAAAATTATCTGCCATTGTCAAGGTGCCAAAAAGGATGTTGGTCCATAAACTAGGAGATGTTAAAGCAGAGAGTACTGATTCCTTTTGAATCTATTTTCTTTCTTTTTTAAGAATTATTTTACTTAATTTTATTTATTTATTTATTTACTTATTTTAATTTGACCAGAGAGGGACAGAACAAAAGCAAGAGTGAGAGTGAGTGAGAGGGAAAATGAGAAAGCAAGCTGCCAGATCTGGGACTCAAACTGTGGTCAGCCATTTGGGAGACAAGCACCTTTAACCACCACACCACCTGATGGTCCCAAATCTTTCTATTTCTTTCTCAACTCATTTACTGAAAACTTAGACAAACATTCATAAATCTATTGTATATTATTAAACCCTTTCCTAAATTTTATTCTTTATATGTACTCTATAATTGTATTCATTGTTATTTAAAATCTCTTATATAACCTGGTCTAAAAATGTATTAGAAAGGGAAAACATTGTTAAGGATGATGTATGTAGAATGTTTCAGGGCACTTGAAACATCTGTGTATGCCTAAAAAACTGACCTAGGCCATAAATAAATATGAACAAGTGGTTTGAATTAAACATTTTAGCTAGAGTACATAGGTGGTTTCAAGAAAGTCATGATAGGCACAGTTCCATCTCACAAAGAACATGAACAGTAGCCTACCTCTAAAATGTATTTCTTGGTCTAATGGAGGAAAGAGACTATGTATAGTTAGAAGCTATGGAAGGCTGCATCTCAAACTGTTGCTATCCTTCAGGTGGATGATATTCAGTAAGGGAGGGATAAACTAACCTTTTTAAAAGATGCTTTTGTAAAGAAGCAAAACATTTAAGAGACACAAAAATGGAAAATTATCTGTTGATGGTAACGTGCATGCTAATATCATTATTTGGACTTATATACAGTGTATTCATGCTGGGAACATTCATTTTGCATGCTATAATGACGTACGGTGATTGAATGTCTAAAACTAAGAAAATACATAAACAAATAAATTATTCCCAACTGATTGGAAAAAAGCATTGCTTTATATATATATATATATAATTAAAGTGCTATACTGGTGTCCAGAAAACAGAGATAGTCAGAGATACTTAATAGAGAAGAAGGATACTTCTTTTTTTTTTTTTTTTTTTTATGAAGAATTCACACCTTAACTCTGACTAGCCAAATACTGAAGGGACAACATCAGTTTCTTAAAGTGGTTGTATAAGCTATGTCAGCTTTTGTGGCTATAGAATGTCAGAAAATTGATACTAATTACGTCAAGCCCTGGAGAAAGGATTAAGGACAAGGTTTAGATCACAGGTTGTCTAAGGAATGAAAATGACTGCAGTGGAGACTGGAATCTTGGCAGGGCAGAAACTCTCAGTAGATTCTTTGTGATATAAATATGAGAAGCATCCTGGAAATTCCCCAGAGGTACTTACAGCAGGGGGTATTTCACATGGGCATGGTTTCTGTGTTATGCAAGGTAGGATTGATATCCCTACAATTTTGGTTATTACTTCTCAGTCTTTCATTCCCTGAAGCAAACATTGATTCATGTGAAAACTGACCACTGAATGCCTATTGATATGGCATGTACTGTACTGGGGATGCAGGTACAGAGATAAGAGATTTTGTAACTTTCACTGCAGATCTAAAAAGGATTCTATGTTGTATACCCAGGTTTTTATAACTAGAGGAACGGGTTTCTATATATCGTCTGTGTGTCTATGTATGCCCCCAATTCAAGTAGAATTGTTTCAGAACAGTAGCACAAATTATTGCAGTAGTAGTGAATGAATATTAACTCACATAGAAGACTGGAGGGATGGTTATGAGTTCCTGAACTAAGAGAGAGGGAGTGGAGAAGTAAAGAAAAAATATATTTAAAGGATACAATAGATAGAACATAGGAGCTAAACGGATGTCCAAGATATAAGAAAGGGAATCAAAAAAGACAAATTACTTTCTTTGTTATTATCATTTGTAAAATTTTGCCAGAGGGTGCATGTGCTTATCAGAGAGACAGAGACAGAGAGAGAGAGAGAGAAAGAGAGGGAAAAAGTACCCCTCAGTTGGGCTTGGTCATGCCACAATCACTTCTTCATTTTGCCATGCTGTTGGGATTTGGAGCATGCATGCATGCACACATGTTTTGTGCTTTATCAAGCTCAAGGGCCAGGATTCAAACCACACAGTTGGCCATGTGGGATTCTGGCTCTTTTAATGCCAAGTCACAGGATTGACTCGACAACTTACTTTCATATTATAAAAACTGAATGGACAAGTAAATTCATTAGGCAACAAAGAGAATAAAAGAAGGAAGTAGTAACATAAATACAGCAAACAAGTCAAGGAGAAAAATGACTGAGTTGATGAGTAGAATCCAGAGGATCACCACAAAAGAGCACTATCCTGGTAAATATAGGCAAGGCTTTCTAAAAGAAAGGGTGGTCAAATTTAACACAGTGGTTAAGGGGTAGAGGAATAAATATATGACCCTGATTTCACAATTACAAAGTCACTATTATCCTTGTAGGTTGTGAGTAAACAAGACATGGCGGACTGGAAAGCAATCATATGATTTTGGACTCCACAGACTTAAGTTGAAAAGTAAACGTGAATCCTTTTACCCAAGGAAATAATGGAGGAATTATCCAGAATTAATATCTAACATACCTCTTTCATATCTTCATAATATAAGAAAAGTATTGGGTGTTCTTCTTTTTTCTCCCACCAGTTCTTAACATGATTAAACCAGGAACCGTAGGACACTAAAATCAGAGAAAATGTCTATTTCCATAAACATTCATCAAATTAGATTTCTTTCTGAGCAATAATTTTAATCATGAAATATTTTGTGGAATTTGGTAGTCAAAGAAATTGAGGCCAATTTTGAAAAGTGAAATTAACCATTCATGAATGTACTAGCAATCGTGTTTAAAAATTGTGAAAGAAAAAAGGAAGTATTTTGAATAAAAATACATTGACCTCCAATAAGTATATTTAGCCTCACACAGAAGGAAACTTTATCCTAACAAAGAACTCATGTCAAGTGTATACCTAAGTACTAAAGAGATGACGTATGTTTATCATATTGAACTAATGACTTGGTCAAGTAAAACATTATCTATTGTGAGCAGGAACTGAGAATGGATTTCTAACAACTGATAAAAATTCCAGAATATTTTAATTATGCTAATGAGTAATAGCTTGTGTGTAAGCTGAACATCACACTAAAATATTATATACTTATATGTATTTGATTTAATTTTCTAAAATAATATTGTTCTTGTCAGTGACCTGGAGAAATAAGTATTCTGAAAAAAAAAAATGTTATACCAGTAATGGTTAAAGATATTATCCCAAATTAAAAATCACTTATTAATTTTAGCTAAGGCTGCCCTACCATTTCCAGTCATGAATTTCTCCAGATATTCCTCCCAGGTGCCAGGAAAAGGTTCTAAATTATTCATTAAGTCAAAATGGTAAAATGAGACTGCAACATCCTTGGCATTTCGAGCCATATAAATCATCTGTAAAGAAGAGAAAGAAGACTATCAAGTAGAAGGTATTTTATTCAAGAATAAAAATCAATCTATGGGCAAATGAAATTACTAAATATTTTGTCACCTGGAATTTGTGGGTCACAAAAGCTCTTTCATCAGCACTTCAAATATAGAATCAATGTAAATGATTTTTGCGAGGACAATGCTTTTTTTGAGATTGGATCCATAGAGGCCTCGAGGTTTTGAAACAGAAAATTTTTAGGTATATATTGAGTGAGGACATGCAAGGTCTGTCTTTCATAGCCTGGCTAGCTTTGCTTAGCATTACATCTTCTATATTCATCAACATTGTATCAAATGTCAAGGTCTCTCTCTCTCTCTCTCCTTTATTTCCTCCCAATGATTGAGTGACTTTTGGCTCCATAGTGTTCATGTGCCCTATTCTTTTAATAGCCCAGTCTTCTGTTCTTGGGCCTTTAGGTTGACTCCATGTCTTAGTAATTGTGCGTAATGCTGCAATAAACATCGTGTGTCTTTCCAACTGAGTGTTTTCCTATGCTTTGAGTAAATACCCAGGAAGGTAATTTTGATTTGATTGACATGCAATGCATATATGCTTTGAAAAAGTATATTGTATGCTGTTAAGATATATAATAATTAAATGTAATAAAAAAGTCAGTTTCTGGCTTCTGTGACTTTGTGAGCCATGAACAGATCACTACACTTTCAGAGAGAACCACAGAGTCCTGGAACACATCTTATTATCAAGAAGATAACACTATAGTTAAAGAGAGCAGCAAGCAAATGTAAAAGAATAAGATTGTGTGTGGGGGGAGTGGGGGAAGGCCTCATTTCTACCAGATAAATACCTGAAAAAACATTCGGTGTTGAAAAACATCAAGAAAGATAAAGAAGGCAATAGAAAAATATTAGAGACATTAAAATAAATTCATGGTGACTTTCGGCCCTGAATCTAGAATGTACAGATTCCCTTTTTCCTATTCCACTTTTACAAATGTAATGAAAACCCTGGAAATTATTCACCAGACATGATACAAAGTCTGAAGGCATACTACATAAGGAACTTGTATGACTTGAGTAATGTCATTGTGGTAAGCTGGGCTTTTGTTTTATCTCCTATATACCTAGATTGGGCAGTTAAGAGACCATTACTCTGGAAATATGAACAGGCATAAACAAAATAGAATAGAAATGCCAAGAAAAGCCTGCTCTTCCTGGTCAAAGAATCAAGAAAGAGAAAGCTCAACAGACATGGTGGAAAATTCCAAACACTGCTCCACACCTGGGGCTCCAGTAGTGGTAGTGAAGTTTTGGGCTAGCCCAGTTTCTGCTCACAATTGAAATCTACAGAAGCAATCTTGTCTACCCACTCTGAAAACTATAGCAAAGCCCTGTTCTCCCTCCTCTCCACCCAGGTCTTAAGGCTTCTACTCTCTCTCAGAAGGTCAGCAACAGGCATTCCAAGGAAGTTCCTTACACCCAGCATATGGGATCTGCAGAGTTAGAGTAGCCCTGAAATATGAAAGCAAATACGAAAACATTGCAGGGACTCAGAAAAGTAAACTGCTATAAAACTTAAGGCACCCAAATATTGGCCAAAGCCAGTATGAATTTCAAGGAGAAAAATAGAGAGGCAAGACATTTAAGGGACACAGAAATGGAGGATTGTCTTTTAACGATACATGTATGATAATAGCTTTAACTGAAATGATGTGCAGTGTATTTATGCTGGGAAAACTTATTTTACAAGCTGTTGTGATAAACTGTGGTTGAATATCTAAAATTTTTTTTAAAAGGTAATCAGGGTAACTACCTAATAAAATGATCAACTCTGGATTTTATATCCAATAAAACTTCAGGAAAGAAGGGCAATAAAGATACTTTCAGATGAAGAAAAATGAAGAAAATCTGTCCTTAGCAGGCCTACTTTAAGGAATGGCTAATGGAAACTCTCCAAACATAAAGAAAATGGCAACAATAGGAAGGAATCTACAGAAAGGGAAAAGAACATGAGACTGGGAAAGTAGAAACAAATATAATAGATTATCTTTCACCTGGTAAGTTTCTGCAGTCATATTTTACAGTCGAAGGGAACGTTATTCCACCATCTGATGATTTATGTAGAGGAATCAGTTAGATATTTTACATAGGTGAAGGATAAAGGAATCTAAATGGAAGTAAGATAGCTATAGTTCTCTTGAAGTGCTAAAATGTTGACACCAATAGTCTTTGATAAGTTACGTCTGTTTATGATAATAGTTAGAGCCATCACTAAAAAGCTGCACAAAGAAATTTATCTTTTTCATGAGCAATAGTGAAAGAGGCAGCACCTTCAACAGGATCTTGATGCAGCAATGCATTCCCGGCCTCAGTCAACCCCAGGTCATAGGCATACGTGTGCCCAGAATCCTCAGGAAGATCTCTGGGCATGAACACAGAATTTGGCCATGTGGTCACCCTCTCAGTGCATAGTGTATTACTGCTATACCACCATCTAGCCCCAAAATACTTACATTTAAAGACAGAAATTGTCAAAGCAGATGAAAACGGGACTCGGCTATATGCTATCCACAAGAAGCTCACTTGAATCCAATGTAAATAATAGATTAAAAGTGAAAGAATGAAAAAGATATTATTAAAATACTAGGTCACAGAGTCAGCAGGAGACATAGTGGTTAAGGGCACTAGACTCCCACGTGGCTGACCACAGTTTGAATGCTGGACCTGATGGCTTGCTTTCTCACTTTCTCTCTCTCTCTCACTCACTCTGTCCCTCTCTGGTCAAATTTAAATAAATGAATAAATAAATAAAGTTGAATAAAATAATTCTTTAAAAAATATATTATGTCGTTGGGAAAGTCACAATGCATTTTTGCATAGAAAAATACAACATAACTTTCCTGACAACCTAATATTAATGAAAACTAGGAGTAGCTCTATTAATCTGAGACAAAGTAGATTATAGTGCAATGAAAGTAGTAGGGACATTACATAATGATTAAAATCCACTAAGAAGAAAAAAGTTCTAAAAATGAAACAACAGAGCTTCAAAAATACATGAAACAAAAACTGATAGAGCAACGGATAGCAACAAACACAGCAACAATTATAGTCGGGGCTGTTTATAATCTAGTCTCAGCAATTCATAGAACTACAAGGCAGAAAATAAGCCAAGAGATAGAACTGAATAGCATTATCAGACAATAAGATCTAATTAAAATTTATAGAACAATCTAAGCAACAATGAATACACATTTTTCTTAAGAGCTTGTGAAGCATTCACAAAGATAGACCAAAATAATCTATAAGAAATTTTAAATAATCAATACATATATAATATGGTCTTTGCCCAAAATGAAATCCAATTAGAAATCAATAATGGAAAGACAACCATCATACACCTGGAAATTAAACAACACAGTTCAAAATAATCTTAGAGTTAAAGAGGAAATTCCAGAAGAAATAAAACTATGCACAACGTTGGATGAAAGTAAAACCACATCTTACAATTTGTGAAAAGCTACTAAAGTGAGAAAAATTAATAGCACTAAATACTTCAGGAAAGAGGAAAGAAAGAAAATTAATAGCCTGAGTTTCTACCTGAAGAAATTATAAAAAGAGTAGCACATGCCCAAAGGAAGCAGAAACAGAGAAATAAAAGATAAGAATTAGGGCCGGCCTGTGGCACAGTGGTAGTGTAGCACTCTGTGGGGCTGGATTCACCTGGAAGGTCCCAGCTTCACACCCGCAGCCCTCCCTGTACACCCTGGGCTGGCTGAAACTGTGAATAGATGGCAGCATGAAGATCCTGTTAGGGATGACTCTATTCCTTTCCTCTCTCTGTCAGAAGAAAATAAATAAATAAACTTAGGAAAAGATATCAGAAACTAAAATTAGAACAAGAATAGATAAAATTAATGAAACAAAAAGCTGACCTCTTTTTTAAAAGAATGAATGAAATTGATAAACCTCAAGCAAGACTAACAAAGATAAAAGAGAGGAAAGAAATAACGATCAAGAAGAGAGCAGATGTATCGTAAGAAATTATGCAGCCATTAAATAATGAGGGTATGATATGAACAACTTTTCATTCAAAATGTAACGACTTAGAAAATTTTCACATACATCAGAAATTAGCAGAAGAGAAGATGAAACAGATGATCTAAATAGCACTATCACTATTGAAGAATTTTAAATTTGAATTTAAAAAAATTTCCTCTAAAGTGAATATGCAGACACAAATGTCTAACTGAAGAACTTTGCTAAACAGTCAAATAAGAACTAGCATCTTTAAGCTGAGTTTTGCAGAAGGCCAGAATTTGTAGAAACATCTGGAGAATGAAAAGAATAATGCCATGCTGAGGATACTGTTGTTATACATGTTTGGAAAATTTAACTATGTAAGTTTAGACTGAAACTATTTTTTTTAATTGAAGGACTTCCTTTTGTTAGCTTAGTTCTCATGGTCATGAGTAAATGAGACGTTTGAACATTTACTTACAGTGTAAGTGGGTAAATGGGTAGGACCATACTGAAAAACTGACTAGCAGTCTAGAGTGTACCTTGCAGTTGTTCTCCCAGAAAGACTTCGGAAGAAGATCAACAGGTAGATGTGTCTTCACAAGCCGGGGGGATGGATTCTTCTCTAATTGTTCTATTCCTGGGAATTTTAGTTTGGTACAAAGAAATATTAGTCTCTAAGGAGCTTGCAGTTCCTCATCATCCCAAACAATTTTTCAAGACTTTTTTAAAACAGTATATACATTTTTAAAAAAATCTAATTACAGGTATGTCTCTAAATTCTGAGAGACAATGCTGTGTAATAGTTATGGGTAAATATTCTGTGATTAGCTTCTCTGGGTTCAAATTCTGACTATAGAGTGATAGCATTTATGTATGGTGAGACATTTGGAAAGTATGTCAGAATCTCTGTGCTTCATAGCTCCCATCTTCAAAATGAGCAGTAATAGCATTCACTTTAAAATTGTAGAGTTTTATCATGCCTGTTCATTACCATAGATGATTTTTAAAAGGTTTCTGCATGCCAAAGAGATACAGGAAGAGATGCCATAGATCTTTCACCTCTTTGATTTTTCTTTTTTTTCTTAAGAATTATTTACTTAATTCCATTCGTTATTATTATTTTTCAAATTGACCAGAGAGAGAGAGAGAAAGAGAGAAAGGGAAAGCAAGAAAGCAAGCCTCTAGGTCCAGTACTCGAACTGCAGTCAGCCATGTGGGAATCCAGTGCCCTCAACCATCACACCATCTGCTGGCCCCTCACCTCTTTAATTTATTTCTAGGTATTTATTTTTGTGGCTATTGTAAATGGTAATATTTTCTTTATTTCTTTTTCAGCTAGTTTGTTATTGGCAAGTAAAAATGCTACTGATTTTTTTTGTACAATGTAACATTATTTAGTTCATTTGCCAGTTCTAAGAGTTATTCTAAATATACATGATCAGATCATCTACAGAGAAAATTTGACATTCTCCTTTCCAATTCAGATTTTCTTAACTACTTTCTCTTGCCTAATTCAGTTAAGAATTTAGACAAGACTTCCAATAACATGTTGAACAGAAGTAGAGAACGTAGACATCTTTATCTTGTTAAGTTCTCAGAAAAAATATTAATTTTCCCCCATCTAATGATATTAGCTGTAGCTTTGTCATATAGCCTGTTTTAGTCTGTTGCATGGTTAATAATAAACATGTCTGAAAGTGGGTGATTTATATTATAATAATGTAAGTTTATTTAGATCTTGATTTGGAGGTCCTGGAGTTACATCTAGCAAGGGCCTTCTTGCTGGTAGAGACTCTGCAGACGCCTGAGGTGGCAAAGAGTATCTTGAGGTGAGATAAACAAAAGCATTCCTGTCTGTGTTCATGTCATCTTATAAACCCATAAAAATCCAGTATTGTGGGCTCCATCTTGATTCCTAAAACTTCCCCAATGCCCCAACACCATAGTCAGATTAAGTGTTCATTCTCTTATTCTCATCCCAACAAATTCCAACATGTAAATTTTGGAAATACAGATGCAGACTATAGCAATGACCTTTATTATCTTGCTATATGTACCTTCTATACTTAATTTGTTAGAGTCATAATCATGACGGGATGTTGTACTTTGCCAAATGCCTTTTCTGTATCAATTGATATGATCATACAGTTTCTATCTTTCATTATATTGATGAGTCTTATCATGTTTTTAAATTTATATGTTGAGTCATCTTTGCATCTTTGGGATATATCCCTCTTGATAATGGTGTATAGTCTTTTTGATGTTTTTTGTTTTTTAATCCAGTTTACCAGTATTTTGTTTAGGATTTTTTGCATGTGTATTTGTCAGAGATAGTGGCCAGTAGTTTTCATTTTTCCTTGTGTCTTCATCTTCTTTTTCTATCAGGGTAATGGTGGTCCATAAATTGAGATTAGGAGGATCCTCTCTCTACTTTCACATTTTGAGACAAAGCAGCATTAGTGTTTTTCTAAAAGATTTATATATATTTCAGTAGTGAAGTCATTCAGTCCTCGGTTTTCCTTTTCGGTATTTTTTTTATTATTATTACTTATTATTGGTCTATTCAGTCCATCAACGAGTCCAAAGTATATTTTCTCTAGCATCCTTAGTTCCAACTGCACACAGTTATAAGTGGGGTCTTAGTGTTTAAAACAACAACAACAACAACAATAATAATAAAAGTCCAAGTCTTCCTTGCCTAAAAATCTTCGATATCTTTTTCAATGTGCTTGGAGTAAAATTTAAAAATACATTTAAAATTACACACTCTATACAATCTGTCCTTGTTTGGTCTCCAATTATTTTGCTTCTCACTTTTCCCTTCTTTCACTGATCTTCTTTTAAGTCCTTGGTCTACACTGAGGTCTTTTTTGTACCAAGGTCTTCATATCTAAAACTTCGAATTTCTGGAATATACTTTCTCCAACTATATGCATGACTTCAGGTGTTTTTTGTTTTTGTTTTTTGCCATAGGGCACATGTGCTGGCTAGAGAGACATAGAGGGAAAGGGAGAAACCACCTCCCAGGGGAGATGATGATGTCACAATCTCTTCTTCTCCGTTCTTCTCTTGGGATTTGGGGCATGTATGCACAGGAGTCTGGTATAAGTTTCAAACTCCTGGGTCTGGAATTCAAACTACTGTTGGCCATATGGGAGGCCAGTTAGCTCCTAGATTTTAAATCTGATTAGATATTCTGACCATTCAATCTCAAGTTAGCTTTCTTGTTGTTCTCTTTCATGGAACCCTGTTTTTTGGATATATGAGACAAATAACATTGACATAACATTAGATTATTTAGTTTTTAGTGACACAATATTTCTGTGAGATTCTTTGGAAAATGACATATAACATTCTAATATTTTTATATCTAGTACATAGCATAGTAAATAATTTTTAGAAGCACTCTGGTAATAGTCGTGGAATGTAAAATGAATTATATTAATAATAAAGTGTGTTTAAAGAGGAGTTTGTACTTCTTTACTTATTTATTTAAATACAATACCCTAAATTAGGAGATTCTTGCTCTAATCTGCTATATTCCAGGCAAGAAAAGTCAATAAAATATAAGAAACATTATTTATGTTATTAACAAGGTTTTTAGTTTTTTCCTACCACAAAACTCATATATCTTTGATATATGCCTGGTTATGCAATGAACTTGGACTATTTTCTTTATAAGTTGTACTAATTATATTACTTTCAAACTTCCATTTTATGTTGCAAAATTTACTGCAATTTATTTGAATGGGAGTCACAAATATGACAATCTTCTTGCAACATAAATATTACAAAATTTAATTACCAGGGAGTTTAAATTTACCTGATGTTCTTAGTCCAGGAACAGCCATTTCCAACATTGGAACTTTGACATTAATAAAATCACGCTTACATTTTTCAACATCTCCATCATTTAGAACCATGTCCACAATTTCACTAACCCAAGTGGTACCTGTGACAAAGGGCAACATTTCTATAAGTGTCACCTGAATCAGGGGCAGGAGGGATCTATGGGAGGAATACTTACAGGAAGTGTGTCATATAATACATTTTATTAGAAATTTAATTCTGCAGTTTCCTTTTATATACTCCCAAATGCCCTTTTTCTTTCTTTGCTTTTTTTTTTTTTTTTTTGAGAGCTTTTGCTTATGGGCATATTTACTCACTGGAGACACAGAAAGAGAGAGAGAGAAAGTGAGAGAGCAAGCCTGTGGGGGATGGCCATGCCATAATCCCTTCTCTTCCATTCTCCTCTTGGGATCTTGGGCACACATGCACATGTACCTGGGGTGAGTTTCAAGTCACCAGATCTGAAACTCAAACCATGGTCAGCCATTTGGGAGTCCACTACCTTAACCACTACACAATCTGTTGACCCCAAAATGCCCATTTGAATATGTTAGACATAGGGAACAGCGGGTGATGTCAACTCCCCCGTAGTCTAACGTGGTTTGAGTCTGGACCCAGTGACTTGAAACTCACACCAGGCATGTGTGCATGCATGCACAAAATCCTGAGAGGAGACTGGAGGAGAGGAGATTGCATCATGGTATCCCTCTGGGAGGTGATTTCTTGCTTTCTGTATCTCTGTCTCTCTGTCTCGCTGGTGAGCACACATACACTATAGTAAAAATCTCTCTCTAAATATACATATATATATATATTTAGAGAGCTATTTGTATATACATATATATACACACACATATATACATACATATATATGTATATACACACACATATATACATACATATATATACATATATGTATGTATACACACACATATTAGAAGTAGTTGGCTGAACTGATTGATAGGAATTAACTTCCTTAGGATGTTAGTAACTTCATGGAGAAATTAATTTTAGGAAACAAACTTTGAGATCAGAAATATGTCAAACCATAAAACTTACCTGCTTTAGGGTAAGTGGCTATCACAATGTCATCTGGCCTGCTACGGAACTGTTCAATCCTTTCCCAGTTGTTAGCGAAAGCACTGACCATGGGACAGCCATGGACCATCGTCAGACTTTGTCGCAGGACCTCTTTTGTGGAAGTCATTTTTGTGTCAGCTTGCTAACGAACTATTTACTGACAGTTATACCATGGAAAAAATAGAAAAGAAACAGCAGAATCTGAGTAACGAATGCTTAAGACACTGGAAGTTAGACAAAATGAAATGATCTTTTAACGCACTGGGTACGCAGAGTTCTAAATACAAAGGGCACTTTTGTAGGCATAAAGCTGTAGATTGCAAGAGCAGCATCTGGCTCAGTGACAAACAGAACAAAGGTCCTTCATACAAGCTTAGGAAAGAATTGAGACTACACATCTTATTCTAAATTAAAAATCATATTTCATAGAAACATGCTTTGAAAAGCCTGGAATCAAGCAAAAATAAATACCACACTCATAATCTATGGCTGCTATACTTCTGAGAATCTTTCAATAATAAAATGTATATTATAGTATATATACAGAAAGTTTGAACTAATTATAGTTTAAATTGCATGTCTTACACAAATTTATATCACTTCTAGCAAAATCAGTTTCTTACGCTGATTGATAAATAGAATTTTTTTCAGGCAAATATTTTATTAGTAATTTGGTGACTCCAAGATTCCGTGAGAAAGCATGAAGCAGTCATAGCACTTAGTAAGCTCTCTTTTATTTTTATTTTTTAAGGTTTTTACCATAAGGTGCATGTCCTTTGAGAGATAGAAACGGTGAGAAGGAAAGTAAGGAATCACCCCCCAGGAAGTATTTGCCATGTCACTATCCCTTTTTCTCCATTCTCCTCCTGGAATTTTGGGCATGAACACACACACATGCCCAGTGTGAGTTTCAAGCCACCAGGTCTGGGACTTGAACTGCAGTCGGCTATGTGGGAATATAGGGCCTTAACCACCATGCCACCTGCTCGCCCCCAACATTTAGTAAGCTTTTAATAGTAATTATGTAATAAGAGCCACACACATACACACACACACACACACACACACACACACAGACACATCAGTCACTTAAAAGTTAGCTGCAGCTTAAACGAGATGGACTTAATTATTATAGAAAAAGGCCTGCTTCAGATTAGGAAAAGCATGTTATAATAGCCTGATGTTTTAGAGATACCTCCTCTACCACCACCACCTAAAAAGAATCTAGAAAAGAGAAATTTGGGCAAATATTTCTTCATTGTATATTGCAAGACATTCTTATATGTCTTAATTTTATGTTATCACTATTGGATTTGCTCACAAATAGCATGCTTTCATTTTCCCAGTTAAGGCATTATTAAATTATAGATTTGTCTTAAAAATATAGAGCACCTTATACAATAAATGCAGTGAAAATAATTTGAATTTGCATCTTTTTTGGAGAAGTTTTTGCTATAGGGTATGTACATTCACCAGAGAGATAGAAAGAGATAAGTCATCCCCCAGGGGGCATTACCACACTGCCATCCCTTTTCCGTTCTCCTCTTGGGTTTTTGGGCATGCTCAATCATGCACCCAGAGGGAATTTCAAGCTGCTGGTTGCAGGGCTCAAACTGCAGTTGACCATATGGGAGTTCAGTGACATAACCATTACAGCATCTGCTAGTCCTGAATTTTACATCTTTCTTTAGTGATTTTAAAGTAAAGGAGTTTGGGAGCCTCGAAAATCTGAAAAAAAGAAGCAGCTGGTGGAAGAGTAGAGTCAGCCTAGAGGAGTTCCAAAGCAAAACCCAAAGCACAGATACCAATGAGAGCTGAGGTACCAGGGCATCTTAGAAAAAGCGATGTTGGGGCTTGCAGGTGGCATGGTAGTTGTGGTTGGTGCTGGACTCCTACATGGTCAACTGTGGTTCAAATTTCGGACCTAGCGGCTTGCTTTCCCCCTCTCTCTCTCTGGTCTAACTGAGTAATAATAATAATAAATAAAAATTTTAAATGATATTAAGTATTTCTGATTAAGTTATTTTTCTATAGGCTTCTCAGTTATTCTTTTCAGTAAAATGTCCATTTGCCTAGTAGTCCATTCTAGGTGGAGATCCTGTGTGTAGCAGAGGAGATTCTCCTGTGTGAAATATTGTGGAACATTATCAACAACCTCAAGGAAGAAGCAAATAATGTGGATGGTCAAGAACTCAGCAGAAGTGGGAAGTTGATTGGAGTAAAACTGAGTTTGTTAACATTGCAGCTGGAATAAAGTAGGTGTTGAATGAATTAAGTGAATGATTGGAAAGAACGCCTCTTCTAACTCAGAATATGCTGAGCTCTTCCGGCTAGTGCGCCCTTCTCAGTTTAGATATGAAGATATGAGTGACCCCAGAAGTTAACTAAGTGCATTCATATATTAGACTTGATTTTCATGTCGTAAATAAAATTGTTTTCTCTGAAATACTTTAATTTCTTAGCAAATTGTTTCCTTCTTGATTTTCTAAAGGTATCAATCTCAAACCTCATTTAATTCTGAATTAACTGAGTAAAATAAGTGAGGTTCTATTTTTCTCCATTACTCCAGGATGTAACATTTAGTAGCAGTATAATGCCTCCCCCCAACTCTTACATCAACATATTGTGGAAAAGTTAATGAATATTGAGGACATAGATTTCATTTTCTTAATGTCTACTACAAGTCATAAAGACAAATCGGTTCCCACATAGTAGATAGTTTATATGATATTATACATTTATTGTACCATTCTTGATTCTATCTCATATCTCGGCTTGTCATTCACCTTTTTATTTATTTGTGTTTTTGTTTGCCATAGGGCATGTGCATTGCCAGAGAGAGAAGTAGTAAGAAATCGTCCCCCAGGAGGTTTGGCCATGAAACAGTCCCTTCTTCTTCATTCTCTTCTCGGAATTTTGGGCATGCACACACATGCATCCAGTGTGATTTTCAAGCTGCCAGGTCCAGGACTTGAACCACTGTCAGCCACGTGCGAGTCCAGTGTCTCAACTATTGCACCACGTGCTGGTCCCATTTATTCATCTTAATTTAATTTCCATTATGGTTTTATAGTTATAAAATTGATTCATAATTCTATTTAAATTATAGCCTCCATAGTCTCCATACAAACACCATGTGCTATGGTCTTATCTGAGGGCTTATTAGACATTCAGAATATCAAGCCCCAATCCAGAATCAGAATCTACATTTTTAACATGATCCCTAAGTAATTTGCATGCACTTGAAAATTTGAGAAGTGTGTATTTAATGCATGTTGAGTTCATTCTCTAGCAGTATAAGGTATATGCAAATGATTTGTCAAAATAAATGCAGTGTCTTCTAGAAACTAAGTTGCACTGATTTTGCTTAACATGTATTGTCTATAATGGTTACCCACCATGAAAAAGTCCTATTGCCATTTTGTAGATAAAATCAGGAAACAGCTTCTGAGTGTCTGCTCATTTATACACAGAGAGTGAGTGGCAGCCAGGAATGGTCTACAGTTTGCTGAGCTCTGCTGACTTGGTCATAGTGCACATTTCCCATGGGCCCAACCCAGTCAACAAATCTCCAGGACTTATCGTATTCAAATAAGGGTGTTCACTGTTTGCCAGGGAATTTTGCTTTGACAAAGCAACTTCCCTTTGACAAAAAAAGCAAGTTCTTCATGCTGGAAAAATGTTGCTGAGAAGGATGCAATGAGTAACAAGATCAAAATAAGGTTGATGATCCTGAATATATACTAGTCACATTTGGGGAGCGGGTGTGACCTGTTTGGGAGCCTCCACGGTGCTGGGCCTGAATGAGCACAGCTTTATTGTCACCAGTGATGACTGTGAGCCCAGAACGTCAGGAGAGAGGGGTGCAGAGGGGAGGACTGGAAGTCATACATAATTAATATCATTGAGCGAGGTACTGTAAAAGATGGTTTATTAATGATAGTTATTTTAAAATATAAAAAGTAGCTTTTAAAAACATTTTGGACCCTATTGAGACATGACAGGCAATTTTATGTGGTTATGAATTATAGTCTACATGAAATCTCAAATCCTCTTATTAAAGTTGAGCCTTAAACTGAAATTAAAATGTCTAAAAACTATCTATGGAAGACTAATGGGACAAAAGAGAAAAGTGAAAAAGAACATCTCCCTTAGGAGAAATGGAGTCACTTAGCATTAAAACTGAATAGTTATTTTAATGAGAAAAGGCTATTTCTTCCATTTGTCTTACTCAAAGTTTAGCTCCATCTGGTCCACAGTGAGCCCCAGCTACTGGAATGTCCATAGTTAACAACATATATTAAAATGTGCCTTGGGGACCAGCAGGTGGCATGGTGGTTGAGGCGATGAACACTCCCACGTGGCCAACCACAGTTCAAGTCCTAGACCTGGTAGCTTACTTTCTCACTTTCCCTTTCTCTCTCTCTCTTATCAAATTAAAGAAAAGAAAGAATGAATAAATAAGATTAAATAAATAATTTTTAAAAATGTGCCTTAAAGTAGTGTGTGTTGGGGGGGGGGCTGTTGGCAAGCGAGATGAGTGCAGTGAAAGGAGAACTTAGGATTATTTTTTATTTAAGTGGCTTATAGTAGCACTTAAAGAAAATCCCCAATCCTGGCATGGTCCAAAGGGTTCCATTGGACCCAGAACAATAAAAGTGGACATTGTGAGCTTAAGATATTCCACATAACATAAATATTAACACTGAGTTTCCTGTGGAAAATTGGAATTACGTGATGGACATTCAAATGGCAAGACATACAAAATAGAAATTCTTCTAAGAAGCACAGTGCTCTGCGCATATAGAACAAAATTCTCAAGGAAAAAAGAAAAAGATTAAAAGGCAAAATTTACCTTACAAGTTAATCCTCTTGCTCAGTTTTTATTTTCAGTCCATGAAGTTGCTGCCGAGGTGATCCTGGGAAGCTGTTGGTGGTACGAGAGGGGCAGAGAAGGGAAGGCCAGGAAGACTCACTCTTGTCTCTGGAAAAACAAACAAGTTCGAGGATTGATCTGAACATAGTAGCCAGTGACTCTAAAGCAATTAAGATATAAAACATTTGCACTGCACACACACACGCAGGCACACACAGAGGCAGGCCCTGCTGTTTCAGCGCTGGGCAGAG